CTCACACTGTCTCTGTTTCTGTCTCTGTCTCACTCTGTCTCTGTCTCACTCTGTCTCTGTCTCACACTGTATCTGTCTCACACTGTCTCTGTCTCACTCTGTCTCTGTCTCTGTCTCACACTGTCTCTGCCTCACCCTGTCTCACACTGTATCTGTCTCACACTGTCTCTGTCTCACTCTGTCTCTGTCTCACACTGTCTCTGTCTCACCACTGTCTCTGTTTCTGTCTCACACTGTCTCTGTCTCACACTGTCTCTGTCTCACTCTGTCTCTGTCTCACACTGTCTCTGTCTCACTCTGTCTCTGTCTCACACTGTCTCTGTCTCACTCTGTCTCTGTCTCACTCTGTCTCTGTCTCACACTGTCTCTGTCTCACTCTGTCTCTGTCTCACTCTGTCTCTGTCTCACTCTGTCTCTGTCTCACACTGTCTCTGTCTCACTCTGTCTCTGTCTCACACTGTCTCTGTCTCACTCTGTCTCTGTCTCACTCTGTCTCTGTCTCACACTGTCTCTGTCTCACTCTGTCTCTGTCTCACCTGTCTCTGTCTCACTCTGTCTCTGTCTCACACTGTCTCTGTCTCACTCTGTCTCTGTCTCACACTGTCTCTGTCTCACTCTGTCTCTGTCTCACTCTGTCTCTGTCTCACACTGTCTCTGTCTCACTCTGTCTATGTCTCACACTGTCTACGTCTCTGTCTCACACTGTCTCTGTCTCTGCCTCATCCTGTCTCTGTCTCACACTGTCTCTGTCTCACACTGTCTCTGTTTCTGTCTCACTCTGTCTCTGTCTCACTCTGTCTCTGTCTCACTCTGTCTCTGTCTCACACTGTCTCTGTCTCACTCTGTCTCTGTCTCACACTGTCTCTGTCTCACTCTGTCTCTGTCTCACTCTGTCTCTGTCTCACACTGTCTCTGTCTCACACTGTCTCTGTCTCACACTGTCTCTGTCTCACTCTGTCTCTGTCTCACTCTGTCTCTGTCTCACTCTGTCTCTGTCTCACACTGTCTCTGTCTCACATTGTCTCTGTTTCTGTCTCACTCTGTCTCTGTCTCACTCTGTCTCTGTCTCACACTGTCTCTGTCTCACTCTGTCTCTGTCTCACACTGTCTCTGTCTCACTCTGTCTCTGTCTCACTCTGTCTCTGTCTCACTCTGTCTCTGTCTCACACTGTCTCTGTCTCACACTGTCTCTGTCTCACACTGTCTCTGTTTCTGTCTCTGTCTCACTCTGTCTCTGTCTCACTCTGTCTCTGTCTCACACTGTATCTGTCTCACACTGTCTCTGTCTCACTCTGTCTCTGTCTCACACTGTCTCTGTCTCACACTGTCTCTGTTTCTGTCTCACACTGTCTCTGTCTCACACTGTCTCTGTCTCACTCTGTCTCTGTCTCACACTGTCTCTGTCTCACTCTGTCTCGTCACACTGTCTCTGTCTCACTCTGTCTCTGTCTCACTCTGTCTCTGTCTCACACTGTCTCTGTCTCACTCTGTCTCTGTCTCACTCTGTCTCTGTCTCACTCTGTCTCTGTCTCTGTCACACTGTCTCTGTCTCACTACTCTGTCTCTGTCTCACACTGTCCTCTGTCTCACTCTGTCTCTGTCTCACTCTGTCTCTGTCTCACACTGTCTCTGTCTCACTCTGTCCTCTGTCTCACTCTGTCTCTGTCTCACTCTGTCTCTGTCTCACACTGTCTCTGTCTCACTCTGTCTCTGTCTCACACTGTCTCTGTCTCACTCTGTCTCTGTCTCACTCTGTCTCTGTCTCACACTGTCTCTGTCTCACTCTGTCTATGTCTCACACTGTCTACGGTCTCTGTCTCACACTGTCTCTGTCTCTGCCTCATCCTGTCTCTGTCTCACACTGTCTCTGTCTCACACTGTCTCTGTTTCTGTCTCACTCTGTCTCTGTCTCACTCTGTCTCTGTCTCACTCTGTCTCTGTCTCACACTGTCTCTGTCCTCACTCTGTCTCTGTCTCACACTGTCTCTGTCTCACTCTGTCTCTGTCTCACTCTGTCTCTGTCTCACACTGTCCTCTGTCTCACACTGTCTCTGTCTCACACTGTCTCTGTCTCACTCTGTCTCTGTCTCACTCTGTCTCTGTCTCACTCTGTCTCTGTCTCACACTGTCTCTGTCTCACATTGTCTCTGTTTCTGTCTCACTCTGTCTCTGTCTCACTCTGTCTCTGTCTCACACTGTCTCTGTCTCACTCTGTCTCTGTCTCACACTGTCTCTGTCTCACTCTGTCTCTGTCTCACTCTGTCTCTGTCTCACTCTGTCTCTGTCTCACACTGTCTCTGTCTCACTCTGTCTCTGTCTCACTCTGTCTCTGTCTCACACTGTCTCTGTCTCACTCTGTCTCTGTCTCACACTGTCTCTGTCTCACTCTGTCTCTGTCTCACTCTGTCTCTGTCTCACACTGTCTCTGTCTCACTCTGTCTCTGTCTCACTCTGTCTCTGTCTCACACTGTCTCTGTCTCACTCTGTCTCTGTCTCACACTGTCTCTGTCTCACACTGTCTCTGTTTCTGTCTCACTCTGTCTCTGTCTCACACTGTCTCTGTCTCACACTGTTTCTGTTTCTGTCTCACCCTGTCTCTGTCTCACACTGTCTCTGTCTCAAACTGTCTCTGTCTCACACTGTCTATGTCTCTGTCTCACACTGTCTCTGTCTCACACTGTCTGTCTCTGTCTCACACTGTCTCTGTCTGTCTCACACTGTCTCTGTCTGTCTCACACTGTCTCTGTCTCACACTGTCTCTGTCTGTCTCACACTGTCTCTGTCTGTCTCACACTGTCTCTGTCTCACACTGTCTCTGTTTCTGTCTCACTCTGTCTCTGTCTCACACTGTCTCTGTCTCACACTGTCTATGTCTCTGTCTCACACTGTCTCTGTCTCACACTGTCTGTCTCTGTCTCACACTGTCTCTGTCTGTCTCACACTGTCTCTGTCTCACACTGTCTCTGTTTCTGTCTCACACTGTCTCTGTCTCACTCTGTCTCTGTCTCACACTGTCTCTGTCTCACTCTGTCTCTGTCTCACACTGTCTCTGTTTCTGTCTCACACTGTCTGTCTCACACTATCTCTGTCTCACTCTGTCTATCTCACACTGTCTACGTCTCTGTCTCACACTGTCTCTGTTTCTGTCTCACACTGTCTCTGTCTCCGCCTCACCCTGTCTTTGCCTCACCCTGTCTCTGTCTGTCTCACACTGTCTCTGTTTCTGTCTCACACTGTCTGTCTCACTCTGTCTCTGTCTCACACGGTCTCTGTTTCTGTCTCACACTGTCTGTCTCACCCTGTCTCTGTCTCACACTGTCTCTGTCTCACACTGTCTCTGTCTCACACTGTCTCTGTCTCACACTGTCTGTCTCACCCTGTCTCTGTCTCACACTGTCTCTGTCTCACACTGTCTCTGTCTCACACTGTCTCTGTCTCACACTGTCTGTCTCACACTGTCTCTGTCTCACACTGTCTCTGTTTGTCTCACTCTGTCTCTGTCTCACACTGTCTCTGTCTCACACTGTCTCTGTTTGTCTCACACTGTCTCTGTCTCACACTGTCTCTGTCTCACACTGTCTCTGTTTGTCTCACTCTGTCTCTGTCTCACACTGTCTCTGCCTCACCCTGTCTCACACTGTCTCTGTCTCACACTGTCTGTCTCACTCTGTCTCTGTCTCACAATGTTTCTGTCTCACACTGTCTCTGTTTCTGTCTCACACTGTCTCTGTCTCACACTGTCTCTGTCTCACCCTGTCTCACCCTGTCTCTGTCTCACACTGTCTCTGTTTCTGTCTCACACTGTCTCTGTCTCACACTGTCTCTGTTTCTGTCTCACACTGTCTCTGTCTCACTCTGTCTCTGTCTCACACTGTCACTGTCTCACTCTGTCTCACACTCTGTCTCACACTCTGTCTCTGTCTCACACTGTCTATGTCTCACACTGTCTCTGTCTCACACTGTCTGTCTCTGTCTCACACTGTCTCTGTTTGTCTCACTCTGTCTCTGTCTTACACTGTCTATGTCTCACACTGTTTATGTCTGTCTCACACTGTCTCTGTCTCACACTGTCTGTCTCACACTGTCTCTGTCTCACACTGTCTCTGCCTCACATTGTCTCTGCCTCACACTATCTCTGTCTCACACTATCTCTGTCTCACAGTCTGTCTCACACTGTCTCTGTTTCTGTCTCACACTGTCTCTGTCTCACAGTCTGTCTCACACTGTCTCTGTCTCACAGTCTGTCTCACACTGTCTGTTTCTGTCTCACACTGTCTCTGCCTCACACTGTCTCTGTCTCACTCTGTCTCTGTCTCACACTCTGTCTCACACTATGTCTCTGTCTCACACTGTCTATGTCTCACACCGTCTGTTTCCGTCTCACACTGTTTCTGTCGCAATGTTTCGAGCTGCCGCCGTACGCGACCGCCACACCGGTGTGATCAGAAAATATTTGTCAAATGTAATTCTCATCAGGCCCCATGGCTTTAAGTGCAGTCTGCATCCACTATCAACATTATTCCTGGCCTATGTGCTCTGAATGAGGGCCATTGCCCAAAACGTCGCATATTCTACGTTAATCTCCACAAATCAGGCTGTCGCCTGATGAAGCTAGTTGTAATTACTGACGAAACGTCGTACTCAAGATTGTAATAGTTGTGGCTTGACTCTCCAACACACCGGTGTGCTGTACGAGTGACGAATTGGCACGTTCTGTTTTCCTGACAACCCTTACAAGTTGCTTGTGTCGGGTGGTGGCGGGTTTTAACGACACATTGATATATTTACATGATGATATAACCCCCAAAAAAACCCTTATGTATCCCACGTGTGTTTTTACATCTCCGTACAGCAGCACAGTGACATCGTCGTCGATGTTGTTACGGGCGAACGCGTTGAGATTTCCGCTTATAAATGAACCCCGGTCGGCTCTCGGCCAATGGGAGCGCTGTGTTGGCGTGACGTAGCGCGCAGCCACGCGCCGCCCACTTGCCCCCCCCGCCCCGGGCAGGAAGCGAGGCACAGAGCGGCCATGAGCGAGGAGGGGAGCGAGTGGTGCTGCTGAGCGACTCTCATCGCGTGGCGACTTGTGGCGTGTTCGTAAGTGGAAACGGCATGCGACAAGCACAAGTCCGATGCAGGCACGCACCACGTTAATGCGCACGACGATGTGTCGCTGGAATCTATTTGCGTTGCTGCTGAATGACGGAATAGAATCGAGGAGTCGGCGTAGACGGATATTGTTGCATTGACTGGGGAGGCACAGTTCGCTTGGAAGTGGCCGGGTTTCCTCGATCACCACGCGGGTTCGCGTTACACAGCGTTTAGTCTGAGTGTGATACAGAGTCTGTTCGTGTGTTAGTGTGTGTACATGTACGCGTGTTATTATGTTTGTGTATTCGTGTGTTAAGAGTCCATAGGGAGAGTTGTGTGTCCATCCCGTGCTGTATGAAGAGTGTTGTGTCCACCACATACTGTATGAAGAGTGGTGTCCACCCCATACTGTATGAAGAGTTGTCCACCGCATACTGTATGAAGAGTGTTGTGTCTATCCCATACTGTATGAAGAGTGTTGTGTCTACCACATACTGTATGACGTGTGTTGTGTCCACCACATACTTTATGAAGAGTGTTGTGTCCACCCCATACTGTATGAAGAGTGTTGTGTCTATCCCATACTGTATGAAGAGTGTTGTGTCCACCACATACTGTATGACGTGTGTTGTGTCCACCACATACTGTATGAAGAGTGTTGTGTCCACCCCATACTGTATGAAGAGTGTTGTGTCCACCACATACTGTATGAAGAGTGTTGTGTCCACCCCATACTGTATGACGTGTGTTGTGTCCACCCCATACTGTATGAAGAGTGTTGTGTCCACCCCATACTGTATGACGTGTGTTGTGTCCACCACATACTGTATGAAGAGTGTTGTGTCCACCCCATACTGTATGAAGAGTGTTGTGTCCACCACATACTGTATGAAGAGTGTTGTGTCCACCCCATACTGTATGACGTGTGTTGTGTCCACCACATACTGTATGAAGAGTGTTGTGTCCACCCCATACTGTATGAAGAGTGTTGTGTCTACCACATACTGTATGAAGAGTGTTGTGTCCACCCCATACTGTATGAAGAGTTGTCCATCCCATACTGTATGACGTGTGTTGTGTCCATCCCATACTGTATGAAGAGTGTTGTGTCCACCACATACTGTATGAAGAGTGTTGTGTCTACCACATACTGTATGAAGAGTGTTGTGTCCACCCCATACTGTATGAAGAGTTGTCCACCCCATACTGTATGAAGAGTTGTCCACCCCATACTGTATGAAGAGTGTTGTGTCCACCCCATACTGTATGACGTGTGTTGTGTCCACCCCATACTGTATGAAGAGTGTTGTGTCCACCACATACTGTATGAAGAGTGTTGTGTCCACCACATACTGTATGAAGAGTGTTGTGTCCACCACATACTGTATGAAGAGTGTTGTGTCCACCCCATACTGTATGACGTGTGTTGTGTCCACCCCGTACTGTATGAAGAGTGTTGTGTCCACCACATACTGTATGAAGAGTGTTGTGTCCACCACATACTGTATGAAGAGTGTTGTGTCCACCCCATACTGTATGAAGAGTGTTGTGTCCACCCCATACTGTATGACGTGTGTTGTGTCCACCCCATACTGTATGAAGAGTGTTGTGTCCACCACATACTGTATGAAGAGTGTTGTGTCCACCACATACTGTATGAAGAGTGTTGTGTCCACCCCATACTGTATGAAAGTGTGTTGTGTCCACCCCATACTGTATGAAGAGTGTTGTGTCCACCACATACTGTATGAAGAGTGTTGTGTCCAACACCATACTGTATGAACGTTGTTGTGTCCACCCCATACTGTATGAAGAGTGTTGTGTCCACCCCATACTGTATGAAGAGTGTTGTGTCCACCACATACTGTATGAAGAGTGTTGTGTCCACCCCATACTGTATGACGTGTGTTGTGTCCACCACATACTGTATGAAGAGTGTTGTGTCCACCCCATACTGTATGAAGAGTGTTGTGTCCACCACATACTGTATGAAGAGTTTTGTGTCCACCCATACTGTATGAAGAGTGTTGTGTCCACCCCATACTGTATGAAGGTGTTGTGTCCACCACATACTGTATGAAGAGTGTTGTGTCCACCCCATACTGTATGACGTGTGTTGTGTCCCCACATACTGTATGAAGAGTGTTGGTCCACCCATACTGTATGAAGAGTGTTGTGTCCCCCATACTGTATGAAGAGTGTTGTGTCCCACACCTACTGTATGAGTGTGTGTACCACATACTGTATGAAGAGTGTTGTGTCCACCCCATACTGTATGAAGAGTGTTGTGTCTAATACTGTATAAGAGTGTTGTGTCCACCCATACTGTATGAAGAGTGTTGTGTCACCACATACTGTATGAAGAGTGTTGTGTCCACCCATACTGTATGAGTGTGTGCCACCACATACTGTATGAAGAGTGTTGTGTCCCCCATACTGTATGAAGAGTTGTCCACCCCATACTGTATGAAGAGTTGTCCACCCATACTGTATGAAGAGTGTTGTGTCACCACATACTGTATGAAGAGTGTTGTCCACCCCATACTGTATGAAGAGTGTTGTGTCCACCACATACTGTATGAAGAGTTGTCCACCCCCCATACTGTATGACGCGTGTTGTGTCCACCCCTACTGTATGAGAGTGTTGTGTCCACCACTACTGTATGAAGAGTGTTGTGTCCACCACATACTGTATGAAGAGTGTGTCCACCCCATACTGTATGAAGAGTGTTGTGTCCACCCCATACTGTATTACTGTGTGTTTGTGTCCACCCCATACTTGTATAAGAGGTGTTGTGTCCACCACATACTGTATGAAGAGTGTTGTGTCCACCACATACTGTATGAAGATGTTGTGTCCACCCCATACTGTATGAAGAGTGTTGTGTCCACCACATACTGTATGAAGAGTGTTGTGTCCACCCCATACTGTATGACGTGTGTTGTGTCCACCACATACTGTATGAAAAGTGTTGTGTCCACCCATACTGTATGAGAGTGTTGTGTCCACCCATACTGTATGAAGAGGTTGTGGTCCACCACATACTGTATGAAGAGTGTTGTGTCCACCCCATACTGTATGACGTGTGTTGTGTCCACCACATACTGTCATGAAGAGTGTTGTGTCCACCCCATACTGTATGAAGAGTGTTGTGTCCACCCACATACTGTATGAAAGTGTTGTGTCCACCCCATACTGTATGAAGGTGTTGTGTCCACATACTGTATGAAGAGTTGTGTCCACCACATACTGTATGAAGAGTGTGTCCACCCCATACTGTATGAGTGTGTTGTGTCCACCCACATACTGTATGAAGAGTGTTGTGTCCACCCCATACTGTATGAAGAGTTGTGTCCACCCATACTGTATGAAGAGTGTGTGTCCACCCCATACTGTATGAAGAGTGTTGTGTCCACCACATACTGTATGAAGAGTGTTGTGTCCACCACATACTGTATGAAGAGTGTTGTGTCCACCCATACTGTATGAAGTGTGTTGGTCACCACATACTGTATGAAGGTGTGTGTCCACCACATACTGTATGAAGAGTGTTGTGTCCACCCATACTGTATGAAGAGTGTTGTGTCCACCCCATACTGTATGAAGAGTGTTGTGTCCACCACATACTGTATGACGTGTTGTGTCCACCATACTGTATGAAGAGTTGTCCACCCCATACTGTATGAAGAGTGTTGTGTCACCCATACTGTATGAGAGTGTTGTGTCCACCCATACTGTATGAAGAGTGTTGTGTCCACCATACTGTATGAAGAGTGTTGTGTCCACCCCATACTGTATGAAGAGTGTGTGTCCACCACATGTATGAAGAGTGTTGTGTCCACCCATACTGTATGAAGAGTGTTGTGTCCACCCCATACTGTATGAAGGTGTTGTGTCCACCACATACTGTATGAAGAGTGTTGTGTCCACCACATACTGTATGAGTGTGTTGTGTCCACATACTGTATGAAGAGTGTTGTGTCCACCCATACTGTATGACGTGTGTTGTGTCCACCACATACTGTATGAAGAGTGTTGTGTCCACCCCATACTGTATGAGAGTGTTGTGTACCACATACTGTATGAAGAGTGTTGTGTCCACCCATACTGTATGAAGAGTTGTCCACCCCATACTGTATGAAGAGTTTGTCCACCCATACTGTATGAAGAGTTGTGTCACCACATACTGTATGAAGAGTGTTGTGTCCACCCCATACTGTATGAAGAGTGTTGTGTCCACCACATACTGTATGAAGAGTGTTGTGTCCCCACATACTGTATGAAGAGTGTTGTGTCCACCCATACTGTATGACGTGTTGTGTCCACCACATACTGTATGAAGAGTGTTGTGTCCACCACATACGTATGAGTGTTGTGTCCACCCATACTGTATGAAGAGTTGTCCACCACATACTGTATGAGAGTGTTGTGTCACCCATACTGTATGACGTGTGTTGTGTCCACCCCATACTGTATGAAGAGTGTTGTGTCCACCCCATACTGTATGAAGAGTGTTGTGTCCACCACCATACTGTATGAAGAGTGTTGTGTCCACCCCATACTGTATGACGTGTGTTGTGTACCCATACTGTATGAAGAGTGTTGTGTCCACCCCATATTGTATGAAGAGTGTGTTGTCCACCCCATACTGTATGGGTGTGTGTCCACCCCATACTGTATGAAGAGTGTTGTGTCCACCACATACTGTATGAAGAGTGTTGTGTCCACCACATACTGTATGAAGAGTGTTGTGTCCACCCCATACTGTATGAAGAGTGTTGTGTCCACCCATACTGTATGAAGATGTTGTGTCCACCCCATACTGTATGAAGAGTTGTCCACCCCATACTGTATGAAGAGTGTGTTCCACCACATACTGTATGAAGAGTGTGTCCACCACATACTGTATGAAGAGTGTTGTGTCCACCCCATACTGTATGAAGAGTTGTGTCCACATACTGTATGAAGAGTTGTGTCCACCACATACTGTATGAAGAGTTGTGTC